GAGACATACTAGAGTCTTTGCAATTAAAAGACATTATTGATCGATTTGTTGTGTTCGACCAAGCTGCAAAGGTTGTTAATGACCTAAAGGAAAGAGAATTAAATTCGAGCTTATCAGCAGTACACAGTATTAACAACTTTGCAAAGAAAAAAAAAAGTGCAACCTAAAGCTTATTAAAATTTTAAATAAAATTGTTTTAAATAAAAAAAATTTTTATGCTTAACTAAAGTAGCGTACGTTACTTTAGTTACACCCATATTGAAATTTGTGTATTTTAAAAATGCCTTTTACAAAGAGACGCCATTTTAAAACAACTCTTTAAATTCAGATAAAATTTAACTGGGTAAACTTAAACATAAGTGATATTTAAGAATATCGGTCAGGGTAACAGCGAATCTCTGGGGGAGGGGGGGAAGAACCTCTAGACTCCGCCCTCCAATCCCCCTACGATTTTTCAATATATTCGGCATAAAATATATATCCGATTTATTTGTATCCGACCGGATATATAAAAAATTATATCCGGTACACCTAGTATATACGGGCTTTGAACAAAACGCTTCGCGGTATCAAAAATTGTTTTACCCAAAACTGTGGGGGGGGGGGGGATTGCTTCATAAGGCTTGGGGGAATAGACGCCCCTGCAAGCATATAAGAAAATAGTGAAAACATTTAGAGAACATTATAGATTAAAGATAGTGAAACATAATAGAGAGCATTTCACAAAAAATTATTTCAATGATTTTTATTTTTGCTGCGTTAATCTTTCTCTAGCTGCAACTAGAACTACAAGTACTAAATCTGCTTCTTATCTGCTTGAAATCTGCTTCTATTTTCTGCTTGAAATCTGCTTCTATTTTCTGCTTGAAATCTGCTTCTATTTTCTGCTTGAAATCTGCTTCTATTTTCTGCTTGAAATCTGCTTCATTTCTTAAGTCACACTCAGATTCAATTCGAGTACTTAAAAAAACTGATTACTTGCTTAAAGAAATACACTCTGACGCTTAAGTCACATATGATCTATGTGTTGTACCTAAAAATAATAAATTATTTTCATAAGATTTGGATATAAATTTTGGCAGACCTTAACTGTTTTTGCTACATAAATTAAGTGATTTCATTTTGAAGATGACTACAGATCATAGTAAATAGTTAGAATCAAAATTAAAAAAGAAAAACTTGTTACATACGGTGTTTGAATATTAGTTACTTGTAAGCATTCACAAAATGTCATTTCATTTTTTCTAACAGAAAATGAACTCTGTTATTGCTTTAACATTGAAAATTTAATTCAATTTTCTGAACAGAAACATAATTCTGCTAAATAGCGTTATTTTATTAATGCCTCAAAAAAAAGTGTCGATGCTGTATTGTTACACATTGACAATCAGTTACCATTGTTGCCTGTTGCATATTCAATGATCATGCAGAAAACCTACAAAAATCTGAAAGACACAATGCTATTCAGTATAATAGCTGGACTACAAGAGGACACACTAAGTTCTGTTATTTTATTTGCCTTTGAGAATAACGAGCAAGATATAGCCATTAAAAAAAAAAGTATCGCCAAAACTAGATTATTTTACTTTTAGACTCAAAAATGTTGCTAATTCTCCACGTTTTCACTGAAAAAAGTTATATTGTCATTTTTACAGACAAAATTAGATCTCATTAAACAGTTTGTGAAAGCACTTGACAAAGGTTTTAAGGCAATGAATTTTTTGAAAACTGAGTACTGCTGGACTGGACTTGCTAAGTACTGTGCGTGATTCAAAATCCTCTCACACAGGATAAAATAATAAACAATTTTTGAGAATTTTGGCACCTATAAAGTTAACAAATATCAAAAAAATAATACCTATAAAAGTATGAGGGTTTTCTGGTCTTGTATATTTTGCGTTGATTTAACGTTGTATGTATATATATATATATATATATATATATATATATATATATATATATATATATATATATATATATATATATATATATATATATATATATATATATATATATATACATATATATATATATATATATATATATATATATATATATATATATATATATATATATATATATATATATATATATCCCGGGTAAACATCCCGGTGTTGTCGTCTTAGTTGTCTAAGGAAGTATGGAGGTTAAAATAAGTGGAGTAAACGCAATAATTAAATGGAAAATTGTAAAATGTTGTAGATCTTACAATCTCACAATAAAACGATGCAACTTATGTCTTTTTGAATAGTATGTAGCAACATACCTCTTATAAAGACATAGTTTAAAAGAAATAAGAGGAATAAGTTGGTATCTATATTTAGACATAAAAGTAAATGTATATATATATATATATACATATATATATATATATATATATATATATATATATATATATATATATATATATATATATATATATATATATATATATATATATATATATATATATATATATATATATACCGATATCACTAACATGAGTACCATGCAAGGTAATGGAGAGCTTTATTCTTGAGCGCACTGCTATAACATTGGTCTATTCACAAAAGCTCAATACGGTTTTTACTTGAGCGGGGCTGTGTTATCTACTAGAAGTTCGCAAGTTCGCACTGTTGCTTCACCAAGCAACAGTGCCGTCGAGAGGGGGAGGGGATCGCGAGGGACAGTTTGTCCCAGGCGGCAGATATCTATGGGGCGCTTAATGAAATGTAGGAACCTAAAAATAGTTTTAGTTTAAAAACCTGTTAGCTTTATATAATAAATCAATATTTTTTGATATTTTGTTTTCTATTATACTTATGCGTTCGCGCCATTAAAGATTTTTGTCAAGAAATACTTCTAAAGGCGGCTTTCCACGGAGCGAATTATTTCGCGCGAAGCGAAATATTTTGCCGCGAATGTTTCTGAGCATGCGCACAATTTTTTTTTTTTATCGCCTTGCGAATTTTTTCTCTTCGCAAAATAGTTGGATTGACTTCAACTTTTTCGGTAGCGCATTTTTTCGCTTGAAGGAAGAGCCAATCAGAACTTTTGAAAAATGCAAATTAGGCAAATATAAAAATTCAGCATGTAGAAAAAAAAAAAAACACAACAAAATTTTAATGGCCGACAATAGTAACTCGTTTATTGATTGGTTTAAAGAAAGAAATGTTAGCGTAGATTTATTGGAAGCTTTAATAAATGCTTCTCAAAATCAAGTTGCAATCACGAATGAAGAAGTAGTTAATGAAATAGACGAAAACGAAGAGAATGAAAACAATAATTTTATTTCTACTGAATTCGATATAGATTATTTTATAGAAGCTGTTCGTGAGCTTCCAAGCTTGTGGGATGTGAATCCCCCCTCATACAAGACAGATTGGTTAAAGTAAACGCATGGAAAAAACTTGCATTAAAATTTTGTAAAGAAGAGGACTTCCTTCAGAACAAGTTAAAAAATCTAAAAGATGTTTAGATAAACGTAACCGTATGACCAGATCAGGAGCAGCAGCCTCAAACTTACCAAAATGTAAGCTTTTTGATCAAATGACATTTTTGCATGAAAAAAGTGCAAACAAACCATCAGAATCTAATGTTGGTATTGTCCCAGATGTTGCTTCACCATCATCGTTTCACTCACAATGTAGTTTTACACAATCAAGTCCAAGTACCAGTAGTTTTAGCAGTGAATTAATTCTAACTGAAATTCGAAAAAGATTAAGCCATACCAGATCACCCATTCAAAAGAAGGCACGAATCAAAAATCAAGATATTAAAAAAGTCAATGGAAGATGTTGAGGAAGATGAAACTACCCTATTTTGTAGAAGCCTTATTCCTATTATGAAAGAACTTCCAATAAAAGAAAATAGACGGGCTATGATAAAGATAAAAACACTTCTTTTCAACACGAAATATGGTGAGAATGAAGAGATTTAGAGTAAATTATATATAATTATAATTATAAAATATATATATATATATATATATATATATATATATATATATATATATATATATATATATATATATATATATATATATATATATATATATAATAATAATTTTCTGTTATATTTTATTTGTTTTATCGATGTATTTTTATTTTTAAGAACATCTTTAATGTACATCTTACTTTTTTTCCATTATCAGGTTTTTATGGCATTGGTGTAATTATTTATTAAGTTTAAAAACTTTTAATTTTAACTTTTCTATGAAATATTTATATGTAAAAAGCAATCTTTAGATCAACATAAAAATTATTATTTTGAAGTTCAAGATTTTAAGTATTGTTGTAATAAAATTATTATTATATTATTAAAAGTATATGTGCTCTACCTGGTAAAAGTCTTACAATTTTACTATATCAATTGTTAACATAATTTACTTTGTCCTTAAAGAAATACCAGAAAAAATGTCAATTTTTTGAGTAACAGTTATTAGCATTTACCCTTAAACTACATGGTTTAAATAGTGACTTATACGTTCACCATTACAAGTTTCTATTTACCAAGTCTAGTTGCCATTCCAGTTCTCCTTCTGGTGTATTAAAGTATTCTTTAAAGTCATCTCTAACTTGCTTTGCATCTTTTGAGTAGTTGTTAGAACCTGATTGTGACATTGGTTGTAGTGCAGCAGAACATGAATTATCTTGTCTCCAATCACCTGGTCTAAATCCAGCAGGACCGTCGATATCGGTGTAATTTGTGGGACAGTAGACATAATTGTTTGCTGAGCTTTTTTTCATAAGAAAGTTATGTAGGGCTACAATCGCTTGTGTAATTAAAATGACTTTTTCAAGATTAGCAATAATTGGTCTGCAAAATATTCGAAAGCGTGTTGTAGCAATACCAAATGTATTTTCTATTACCCTTCTGGCTCTTGAAAGTCTGTAGTTGAATATTTTTTGATCTAAAGGAATGTTTTGATTAGGGTATGGTTTCATCATGTGTCTTTTTAAACCAAAAGCATCGTCAGCAACTAAAACGTACGGTAATACCTTTTCTGAATTACCAATTTATTAGGGATTAGGAATATTCAATTTATTATTTTCAATTGCATAACCAAGACTGCAGTTGTTAAAAACGCTACCATCAATCTGTCTTCCCGAGTCACCAATGTCTACCATAGTAAATTCGTATTTAGCATTACAAACAGCTAGGAGAACTATGCTATGCGTTTTCTTATAGTTAAAATATTCTGATCCGCTATTATGAGGAGCTTGCATAACGATGTGCTTGCCATCTTTTGCACCTATAGCATGCGGAAAATTCCACATGTTTTTAAATTCTTTTGCAATTGTTTTCCATTCTTGTTTTTCTGATGGGACGTGTAGAAAATTTCTCTTTTTCAATGATGTCCAGATAGCAGTGCATGTCTCACTAATAATCCTACTGATAGTAGATGCGCTGGTTCTGTAACTTGCAGCAATAGTACACTGAGCATCTCCTGTTACAAGAAATCTAAGTGTTACGGCCAGCCTTTCACTCGGACTCACAGGGTCTCTCATGGTAGTTCTTTATTTTACAATGATAGGCGCTACAAACGAAAACAACTCTTCGTAAGTTGTTGGAGACATACGAAAATACTTAAAAAAGTATTTCTGGTCGTGTAAACGTAAATCCTGGACTAATAAATTCTCCGCCTTCAGAAAGGAGAGAAACTCTCCTTTCTGAAGGCGTTCGGTATAAATTTTCCTTACCCAAAATCGTTTTTTCTTCTTTTCTTTTTCTTGTATCATTTGCAACATTTTTAAAATAATTAATTTTCTTCGAACTAACAACAATCTTCTTTTAATCAACATGTTTTCCAAAAAGCGCGCTAAAGGTTACGCTAAAGTGACATGGAAATTAAATTTCTGGTTCTGCGAAAAATTAGTGGCGCCTTAAGAACGCAACGAATGTTCTTTTTTTATATTAGAATTATCAGTACATTGATAGGGAAGTTTTAATGGAATATTTTTTTTTTCGTGGAGTCTATGAAAAAGAGTGTATTTGGTTTTACTTATATTTAAGGTGGCTCAACCCTCTTAAAAATGTAAAAAAAAAAAAAAAAATCAAATTCTTTTTTATTGCTTCTTTATCTAGTTTAAGCATTGCAGATTCCAAAAATATGTCATTTGAGATAATATAATAGATAAGTTATACGTTCCATCATAAAGAAATTTACATTTTTATGGTGTAGGGTTAAAAATGTTATCCATAGCAACACCTTAGCAACCGTGTTAGCTTTGTTTTGTCTGCCCATTTTTTGACAAAAAACTTATAATTTTGAACAACAAAATGCATTTTTTACTTTGTCTACTTTGTTTTACGGCATTCTGTTATTTACAAGTTATAGTTTTCATTTTAAAGATGACATTTAATTAACAAGAAGTAATGTTGTTTATGTTGTATAGTAGTCAACACAGTGGCTTTATCCAATATTTTTTATCTATCTTAATAATACAAATAACTGCACTTATTCTTTATATGTTTATAGAGTGATTAAATATGGGTAATAATAAAAATAAAATAAGATTAATCAGAAAAAGACAGTTTTCATCTAACAGATATACATGTGCTACAAAAAATCAAATTGATAAACCAATAGTAAAGGAAGCTGTTTCATCATCAAAAATTAGTTTAGATAATTCACTTTTAACTGTTGAAAAAGAAGATTCTAACTTCTTTATAATAATTCACTTTGGAGTACTGCAAAGTTGTCTTCAACTTTTGAGTAGATGCCTAGAATGTGGCGACAAGGTCACTGTCAGTCTTGACCAAATAAAAAAATTAGGACTTTCGCATAACATTAAACTAGAATGTATATCTTGTGATTGGAGTTATAATTTTTAGTCATCTCCTGCAATAAAAAATAAACACATTCAAGAAGTCAATGTACGTGCTGTAATGAGTTTTCGCGAAATTGGTTGTGGACATGAAGCTTTAAAGACATTTGCTGGATGTATGAATATGCCACCTCCAATGACTTTTAATTCATATAAAAACATTAATAATCTTTTACATAATGTTTATGACTCTGCTTCATCTAAATGTATGAAAAAAGCTGCAGACGAGATTAGAACTTCTGCAAATACTGGTGCTTCAATACATCAACTTCCAGTTGATTGTGATATCAGCTTAGATAGAACATGGCAGAAGCGAGGATATTCTTCTTTAAATGGTGTTGTTTCAGCTATCTCCAAAGACAATAAAAAAGTTTTAGATGTTCATGTTATGTCTAAGTTCTGTAAGAGTTGTGCTGTCTGGAAGAAAAAAAAAAATACTCTTGAATGTGAACATTGGAAAGCAAATCACCGTTGTGATATTAACCACTCAAAATCGTCTGGAGCAATGGAATCCACGGGAGCTATAGAAATATTTCACTCATCAGTTGAAAAATATGGTTTAAGATACACACACTACATAAGTGATGGAGATACTGCCTCATTTAATGATGTAGTACAGTCTAAACCATATGGTGATGAGTTGATTCCCATTAAATGGGAATGTATTGGCCACATTCAAAAGCGCCTTGGGGCACGCCTGCGCAACAAAAGAAAAGAGTTAAAAGGTAAATTGCTCTCTGATGGAAAAAAAATTAATGGTAGGGGTAGGTTAACAGATTTAGCAATTAACACTTTGCAAAACTTTTATGGGATGGCCATAAGGCAGAATAAAGAACTACCCCTAATGAGGCGTGCAGTTGGTGCAGTTTTATATCATTGTTCTGACATAAATTCTGAAAGTCGCCATTTGTTTTGCCCTCGAACAACAAAGAGCTGGTGTAAATGGCAAAAAGATAAACTTGAAGGTACAAATACCTACAAAGCACATTTAAATTTGCCTCTGGCTATAAAAAAAGAAATTGAAGGCATCTTTAAAGATCTTGGCTCTGAAGATCTTCTGAAAAAGTGTTTACATGGGTTTACCCAAAACCCAAATGAAGCTTTAAACCAATTAATTTGGAATAAGTGCCCAAAGTCTCGTTTTGTGTCAAGAACTGTTTTAGAGATAGGAGTATATTCTGCTATCATAAATTATAATGAAGGTGTTATAGGACTTAATCGTGTATTTAAACTATGAAATTTGACTCCTGGGAAATACTTTTTTTTTTATGCAACAAAAAAGGACAGTACTCGTATCAAACAAGTTAATAGTAAAATGAGCGAAAAAAAGAAAAAACAGAGGAAAAGTATGAGTGCATTTAAAAAAGGATTCTTTGACAAAGAAAAAGAGACAGAGGATGAAACTTATAGTTCTGGGGCACACTAGTTTCATGTTTGTATACTATTTATTTCATTTTTAATTTTGTTTTTCATTTTTCTCAGAAATAAGTTTTTGTTACGTTCACTTAAATTCAAACAACAGTTTTTAGTACTTCTGTTTAACCGATTGACTTGAAATTTTCACAGACTTTTTTTTAATATTGGAACTAGGTTCTGAACTAAAAACAACTATTTAGAACAAATGGATCTTGTATAATCACACTTTGATTTGCTAAAATGACCTTATTTTTCAATGCTCAAAAATAATTGTCAGCCATTATGGATTGGTACATTTTCAAATTTTGATTTTAGTTCAGAACCTTGTTTACTACTTTACCTTTATGCTGTCAAAATTTGGTTCAAATATTATTTACAGATTTTGAGAAACTAATGTTTAAAATTTGATACTTTTTTAATAATTTTTGCTGACACAGCTTTTTTTTTCAGCATTTTTAAAAACTTTTGGTCAAATTTTTTTTTTCATTAAATATATCAACAGTAAACTTAGTGCAAAGACATTTTTTTAATTGTTAAAGAATTTAGAAAAAAAGGGGTAGAGCCACCTTAAAGATAGTTTATTTGACTTGAACTATTCAGTTAAATTTGTGAGTTCCTTACTGACTCTTTCAAATAAGGATGTTTTTTTTTTTTTTTGAATTGTTATTTAGGAGCCCCAAGAAGAGCACCGCGGAGTGCATTTAGCCGGGAAGTTCACGCCTCCTTCATTACCGTGACGCTTAAATATGTCCAAGGCTTGGATCTCCTGCTTATAAAGCAAGCGCTCTAACCACTGCGCCACGGCTGCACGTGTTACTATTAGAGTAAAACAAGTTTGTGTCATCAGCGAATAAAATTGTAGTTAAAATATTAAAAAACTTATGTAAGTCGTTTATATAAACAAGAAAAAGTAGTGGTCCGAGTATTGATCAATCGCAAAAAAAAAACTGACCCCATCTAGTAAATGCTTTTTAAAGTGAGGACACCAGGCGGTGACATATTGTCATCTTGACACCGCCTTGTACCCTCGCTTAAAAAAAAACAAACTTTATATATATATACATTTTACAAAAGCCAAATGTTTAAGCTATAAAATGATATATAATAATCTAATTTTTGAGAATGTATTTTTTTTTACTTTTGTCCGCTACCTGGCTACAAGAGACATTACCTGCAGTAATGTCTCTTGTAGTTTTGCTTTGGTCAATTTGACAAGTTTTGACAACTAATTTTTTTTTTTTTTTTTTTTTTTTTTTTGCGTTTTCTCTTCATTTTTAACTTCTTTTACTTTGAAAACATTGAAATTTTTATTTACCCTTTGTAAAAATTGAATACAAGGGTTTCGTTTCGTATTTTTTTTCCCGGTTTCCTAAATTAGAACACTTGATTCCTTAATCGGAATAGCTTGCTACTTAAAAAAAAAAATCAGGGTTAAAAAGGTTGGAGCCCTTTGATTGCATTATTGATTAAGTTTGAAAAACTTTATAATTCCGATCAAAGAAACTCTGGATTATTTTGTTATATCACTGCAATATCATCCAACTTATAAGTTAAATTTATATTATCATTTGCATTAAAAACCGTGTAACCCACAGCAGTGTAGTTTATCCGGTGCAATTAATATAATGTAAACACGAAGTTAGATCATTGAAAAAAAAAACTATAACTTGATGGCGCGGGTGCATTTTTTGAGTGATAACTTTCAAAATCTCTTAAGTCGTAGAAAATTGTTTACTAGAAAAATACAAAATACAGCGTCTATATATTTACAATTAAAATTTACAATTAAATATTTACAATTAAAAACATTTACATTTAAAAAGATATTTTGTTTCCAAAAGCGTTTCAATTAAGACGCTGTTCCGATTTCGGCGACTCTCCCCTATGTATAAATTCATTTTGTATTTATACTTTGTTAAAAACTATTTCTCACTTTATCACAAGCTTTTATTGCAAAAACTTTATTTCAAATAGTATTTTGATAAAAAAAAAAAATTTCAATCGTGCCAGAGGAGCGTCTTAATTAAAAGAGAAAAGAGCGTCTTAATTAAAAGAGAAAAAGTGCGTTTTAATGAAACACTTGAGAGACAAAAAGCATCAATGGAACCATGTGTGCAGCTGTGGCGCAGTGGTTATAGTTCTAGCTCAGAGCCAAGAAGTCCGTGATTCAACGCCGGCTCTAACCCATTAAGCGACATTGGTAAAGAGGAGGCGTGAACTTCCAATAAAATGCTTTTCCGTGCTCTGTGATAAGACGCAAGGACTTCTGGAAGCGTCTTAATCACCACAAAAAAAACAACAACAACAAAGAAAACTTATTTAGTCCATATTATTTAACTTAACTTTACGATGAGGACAAAATAAATCTAGCAACAATGGCAACTGTAGCAGGCTACAGTCGCCATTGTTGCTAGATTTATTTTAGACATAAGCTAAGTTATGTCTAAAAAGTGCTATCAGGTTTTTGGGAAAACTTTAACATGCTTAACAAAGCAAAAGTTTAAATACGTCAAAAAATGCCGCACATTACTCAACCTCCAGAATATCTCAACATCAATAGAATAATATTTAGTTAGTTGCTTTTTTTAATTGTTACAACCATTACAATTAAATAATTAAATTGTTACAAGCAACCAGTTGCCATAGGCGCCAGCAGGATTTTTTGATAGGACATTTTCAGATTTATCGACAGATTTTAAATTTCGTAGAAAAATATTGTAAATTATAAAATTTATGACCATGGCAAATTTATATCCCCCTCATTTTGAGGGGATCGGAAAATTTAAATTTAGTTTAAGATAGTAAAGATGAAAGTTTTACTACATCAGTACCCTCACGTTTGGGCAGGGGGGCAAGCGTTTTAGGGCTTTTTTGTTTCTCGGCCTCTGCCATCCTAAATTTTTGTAAGGCCTTTTCATTTGGCATAGGTATGAACATTCTTAAGTTTGGAGTTCGCACAATGTTTGAAAGTGTCCTATCTGAAACATCAAAAAATCCTGCGGGCGCCCATGCCAGTTGCAATCAAAAAAAACCACGATACTAATAAGATTTTTTTAAAATATATTTGGTTTTTATTTTTCTAATTAAGTGTTCTTTTTAATTATCCATCAATTTTCATATTTCATCTCCACAAATAAAAAATTCTTGACAACTTTGCTTACATTTTGGCCTATTGCACGCCCTAAAACAAAATTTTTAAGTAGAATTAATAGATTCTATTGTTTAAGCCACTAATCAACCAATTGACTTCTTTTATTAATGGGGTACAGCGAGCCAAATGTAAAAATTTTTTTAATGTATAAATTGAATTCAATGAATGTTTTTTTGATTTCCGTAACTTTGAATAACTTTCCAAAATTTTTAAACAACTTCTCGTGACAACGATTTTTGTAACTTTTGATCCTTCTAATCATGGATTTTTAAAGGAACCATTGAATTGATTAGAATATAATTTCTGAAACGTTAAAACTAATTTTAACTACTTTAACCAACTATTTATTAATAACCCAGTAAGGACGCGACGCGTTTAACACGTCTAATAAATATATTAATTCGTTCTCTCGAGTCAGTTTAAACAGTTTATAAACTGAAATTTTTTATAAAAAATACTTATATTGTAACATAAAAAATTTACCACCTACCATTTTATTAACCATACCCCCGTTTGGACTAAAATTCTTCTCCCCCCCTTTTTATTTCTACCTTCCCCCTCCTTTTGTTTTAAGGACTAGAGAGTATTTTAAACATTTTGTGCTTACTGGGTAATCTATTTCAAGTAAAAGAGTAACTAAAAGGATCATATTTGTTCAGGGAAAGCCGAACTAGCCAAAGTAGACTCCCTGAGCAAAAATCTATTTTGTTTTGAAATTGAAGAAAATTGATTTAAAATGAAAATTGAAAATTAAAAATAATAAAAATTCAATAATATATATATTATTAGGTAGATTAAAATTAATTACTGATAACATATAATATATTACATCCAAATATATACAATAAAAATATTCTGTTTAAAAAAATAATGCAATTCGTAATAAAGTTTCCAACGAACTTTTCTTTATCGTTGTTATAGTTACAAAAGCCTTTTTTTTCGGACGCCTTTTGTTGAATAACGAGATTAAAATGTTAAAAATTTCAGCGAATGCAAAAATGTCTGTATGTATAACGCTTTTTTAAATGAATTTAACAAATTTAATATATTTAATGTTAAGCAATCCTTAAATTATATTTTGTAAGTAAAAGTAATAGCAGGAATAGTTTGTTATTTAAACAAAAAACTGCACTTAATACATTGAAACAGGAAACTTGGATGTTATTTGTTTAGATGACCTTTCATTTAACCGTTTCTTTTCATTACTTGCACATTTCTTTTGCAACCAT